TAAGAGCTGATCTAGACTTGTTAACCGCCAAGCGTCCTTAAAGATTTAATATCTTCTCACTGTGTAGGATGACTTCCAGATCACAAAAGAATGCTACAGACTATAAATTTAGACCGATAATAATCAATAAAACTATATTAAAGGACAACGTCTTGCAGTTTCTAATGTTCAATGACACGCCATTAATCTTGCACCACTTCATTAGGACCGATAAGTCAAATTAAAGTCGACAGAATCCCTCAACATCATCAATAAAATAGCATACACGAGAGCGCAAGAATGTTTAATAATTAATGGAAATCCATTTAAGTATAGCAAGAGAAGGATATCACCAAAGTGGCTACCATTAAATGTAATTTGTAGACTAAAGGCTCTTGATATATTTTAACAAATGCCTTACTAAGGGTAGAATGATACCTAGATGCGTGATATTAGGAAAAACTAATATACATCAAGCATTAGCAACGAAGTTATATTGCGTAAGATATAAACTAAAAATACTGTCTAAGAATGCATCTCGCTTATCGTAGGAGTAAATACGAAGTAGGTGTGCTGCATTCATCCATCCATTCAGCGATCCATTTCCGCGATACTTTTTTCGAAGGTGCTTGCCAACCAAACCATGATACATCAATCTAAATAAATGGTAGCAAGAAAGCGTCTGGTGAGTAAGCTGGGTGCGGCAAAACTTCCTACTCGAAATGCAACGACACCGAGGTGTTGAAACGGTTCGAAATGGCATTTTTAGTCAATTCGTGTGATGGTCATTTTCCGTTCTTTTAGATTTGCTCATCGCTTATAAGCGTTTAGAAATAGCTGATTTATCAATTGCTAAGCTTTTCGAAAGTTCTTGAAGAGCTTGAGTTGAGTTTTCATCCAATACATTGTCACCATTTTTAAATCATTGAAACCAAAACACTATGAGTGTATTGGAGCGACATCACCATAAAATTTTAAAAATGTTTTGTGGGTTTCGGCAACAGAATTAATGCATGTGAAAAATGCAATTTTGAGCGTGCCATAATTAACGCCTGTATTACTTAACAATACTAAAAAGAAAACTGTTTTTTCTTTGTGTGGAGAAAGGCCAAAATCGAAAATAACCGGATCGAAATTAGCTGTTGTGTAAATTGATACATTGCGTTAGTTTATGATTTGTACCAATAGACATCGTTCCTCAAAATGCAAGCAAACATGTGTTATTAATGGACAAGGAGGAAGTATTTACGCTTTTACATTTTGGTATAGAATGAAAGGGTTGCGTTTCTAGTTTCTTGAGTTTCTTGAATTGATAGGAACAGTTTTCGACTACAACAGTATTCGTACTGAAACGATTCCTAGTCAAGAACCCTTTTACTAAAACCGCCCGCCTCTCTGTATCTGAAATGATTTTCAAAAATTTTTGGAGATACTAATATTAAAGAAACAAACGTCACGAGGGGGAAAAATTCTGAATCCCTTTTGCATATCACTAAAAATCCTGGACGTGAAAATTGGCATTCTAGGTATAAGTTGTTCGAGTTTATATTACCTAAATCGGCAGTTTAGACGATAGGTCAAGTTAGGCGCTGACCATGGAGTAATCCCCAACGTCAACGCTTCGACAACGGCTTACTACCCTTTGATTTATTTGAGGTCCTCGGTGAAGTCCTTTAATAGAGACGAAGTTAGATCCAGCTGCGAATCCTATTCTTTCCCAACACTTTTGCAAGCTGGGCAATGCTAATTTAGGCGATTATTAGAGTATGTAAGTACATCTAGATATCTGCATACCGCATATAAACTAACGGCATAAGATGTGCTCCAGCGTTACATAACCCCAATTTGACCACGCTCTTAGATCCATTCTTTCTCTTCAAACTTACTGATTACACTGTCATATTTACATTCCCTATAACAATAATCCGTCTTCCAATAAGTCAATGAGAACTAATCAAGTATTACGAAACAACCAAGTAAAGCAAAATCTTGGATCCGTATGCAAACAGCGGTCTGCAGTTATTACTCTTGGTGTTATTGTTGTTGACCTTACTTTGAGGATAGTGTAATTGGTCCATCGTCACCAGATTTAAGCAACTGGCAAACCTCCAGTTGCTAATGCAAATAAACTTTCCGGAACAGGTTTAATTATTTATTGTATACTACAATTCTTAACGTTGACTAAAAATGTGATTTTTGATTTTGTGTGATGTAGTTAAATAGACGTTCTCTTATGGGAATTTGTGATATAGTTACTGCTATTATTACTGATACCGGGCTTAAGCTGAAGTATAGTTGCTGCTAAAGTAGCGACTTTTTTGATTATTGTGTTTGTTGTTGTTTCTGCTTCGATCTTATGTCTTATTCACCGACTCCGACACTGCAAGTAGCTTTCTACCTTTCGTCACAAAAAATCTCGTTGCCAAGTAGCTGATGCTGTGATTATACGAATAATTGTTGTAAGCCAACAGATCTTGCAGCACTAACGCTTCACAATAGCAATTTAATTTTAAATTACGTAGATTGATTTGCTGGTAACAACAAAAAAAGCGTTTCAGAACTATAATTAGCCGTCTCAATTACAAATCAATTTTATGTTAATTTGGGTATTACAAGAAAAAAGGCCTTAGCGAAATAATTAAAAATTTTTACGAAATTTTCAAAATTTTTACACAAAAAATAAGTTGCCTTTAGCTTTCGAGTAATTGCGTTTGAATTTTAAGAAATTTAAGATTACATGTGAATGTTATAAATAAAATCAGATAAACGCGAAAATAACCCACTGCATCATGTGCGTTTTTTTGTGTCGTAGTGCAAAATTTTAATCCGCTAAAGACCATCTGTAACGCTTTACCCTACCCGACCGTTTAGATATACCGTTGCAGAAAGGGGAGCCTTTTAGGCACTACCTAAGAGCCTACGTTGCGCTTCTCGTTTCTACGTCTCTTCAGTATGCTTCCTACCGCTTTCCGCTTCTTCAAGTCGTGCATCATAATTGCCTTGAGATTGTCTCTGAGAGTAATTTGTCCAATTTCCATCTGTAGTCTCTGTCGTTCGTTTTGGTACTTCCTACAAATAGGGAGCGCATGTTCAGTGTCTTCTGTAACATAACAAGAGGAGCAATCTCCAACTTTAAAACTATGTAATCGAAGTCCTCGCAACGGCTGAGTAGCTAAACCGTGTAGAATCCTGCCTTACTTCGTGTACCTGTGAGTATCCATCTTTCTACATCACTGCTCCTGCCAGTCGTCAATCGGTCGGTGCTTTGACTACGTCTTAACTTCACAGTGTCGCAAGTCTTCTCCATCGTTTTGGGGTGTTCTTGGATGTTATTAGGAGCACCTGTGTTTTTTTCTTCGGCAAACTCACGAGCCACGTTCGTATCCTCCGTATCTTTTCCGTAGAACATCGTAGAACATTCCCAGGGCCCTTACGGAAGCACTGTTACTTGCGATACTCCAGCAGTAATAAACCGTCTGATGCGTGGCTTTAAAGTGCCACAATATTTACCTGGTAATGTGTGGTTGCATATTGATCTCATGAAGAGCTCAAGAGAAAAAAAACAACAAAAAATACATTCCAAACGATCTCAACTTTATTGATCAGGCTGTCTATGAGCACCTTTAACTGAGAAGCGAGTTAACAAACGACGTTCAGACAGTACAAAACAAATATGATGATTGCATCTGTCAAAGAATATAACTTTATTAAAAATTAAAAACTAAAATTAACTTAAATTAAAGAAGAATTATCATGCAAGTATTATACAAACAAATTTTGAATTATATTTTGTAATGTCCGGCAATTGCTCCTGTACGACAATTGAAAATTGTCACAAAACATGTAACGTAAATAGAAGTAAAAGAAAAATAAAATAAAAGATGATACACCTTGAATGGTTTAAATCGCGACGTGCACCTATTGACTATGGTTAGTAATTAAAAGAACTGCTTGAATGAACAGACAAAAAAGGACGTGTAACGCATTAAATGAGTAATATGCACTAAATAAAAAAACTATGTGTAATGAATTAAACGTATATTGAATTCAATCTAAACAGTGGTAATCTGCGTTTTGCTATTGCAACGCTTATATGTTGCCAATGGACCAAGTTCAAGAAGATTTTTGGCATCCAGTTTAATTACTATGTAGTATTTATACAACCGCCCTTCCAGCATCCCCCTTCTATAACTGTGGTGGATGCAGTAATTACTAGTTTGAAACGATCTATGTTGCATCTTTATGAATCCAAACTGGCATTCGCATAGGTCTTCATTACCGTCTAGTACCTGTGCAGTTACAGGCTATTTCCTAACTGACTCTATCCATTCTGTCAAGTAAACGTGTAGGTCTGGCTGTAAGAGATCACTCTCTGACTTATATTTATGAAAACACGTATGATTTATCCGAAGAACAAAAATATATGCAAGCACATAATAAAATAACATGTGCTGCAAAACTTTTTCCAGAAGCTGAACAAGTGAGCGATTACGAAATGTTGAGAGTTTTGTTACTAGATGAGCTCATCTAGTAAAAAGTAGATAAAAGTCCAAATACCCAGAAAATTATCAAAAAAACATAAATTTGAAGAGCAATCGTTTCATGAATACACATTTTATATGATCAAAATTACTGCTACGTGTACGATTGATAAACTATCCATCATCGAACCCCTAGTAAATGGATAATGAATTAAAAGCGTGTATCCTATATAAGCACCTAAAACATTTAAAGAACTTTGTGAGAAATTAAATGAAGTGAAGAAGAAACCAAAAAGATACAGAATGCAAATCAGATATTGAATGTAATTAAAGTGGACATGTTTCTAGAAACTGCGACAAATGAAATCAAGACAAAGAAGTTATAAACCTTATCGAAGAAGAAAATAGAACGAAATAAGTTCTAATAAACGATGTACAAACCTGGTCTTATAGAGACACTGGTTTTGATGTTTTCATTATAAAAAAGTGTGTACAAGAAGAACTTGAAAAGTAATGCCTTATAACCATATGTCAAATAGCTTGTCGCGAAATATACACACAAATACTTTTGGTAAATTAATAGTCAAAGTAAACATAGACATCATGGAAAAGGACCATGTCCTTATTGTGGTGTTAAGAGATTTTAAAGGGTTTTGCTTACTCGTGAACAAACGCGATTGTAATGACATCATTCACGTACGCGAGCACTAATTCGAATCTATGTATATTAGTTGTAAGTACCAGCACACCAACACTATTCTACATACACCAAAGCAGCGCCGCAGTGAAATTGTACAAAAGGGCAGTGTGAATATTGATTATTCTTTAATTATGCTTCGGCAGTCAACAAGACTCTGGCAGGCCTACAGCGGCAGAACTATCAAGTATATTACCATCACAAGCTCATCATGTTTCGTAGACCTGTTAGAAAGACATAATCATCACACTTCAGAGAGGTCCGAAAGAATTTGTTGCTGGCAATTGCCCCAAGAGGCGAGCCTAGAGGCATTAAAATATGAGTTAACACACAGCAAGATGGTTATTACAAAAATTTAGTATAACATTATAAGTCGACTAATGAGAAGAGTATTAGAAAAAAGCCACCAGATGAGATTAATTTATTTAACTTTATTATGTTATAATTCCGTATGTGTTCCAAAATTACTTAAATGTTATTCTAACAATATTACAATTCAATATGCGCGAAAATCAATTACAGTAAACTTAACAAGAAACGCTGCCATAATAATAAGAGGGATTAACAAGATATTGGAGAAATATTAGATTTCATTGAACCTGTTTGGATACGTGTAAAAGTCATACGAAGCCATAGCCCTATCGTTAGTTGTTAGCAAATCTTTGTTGAAAATGTTAAATTTGGTAATTTTACCATCATTCTTCTTCTTCGTGCGTAACGAGTTTATCCTCAGGTAAAATGGCATTAGATGTTCTTCGATATGGATTCGAAAACGTATCTCACCATCGACGATATCCGAAAGAATCATCGTACGATACCTTTTACCACATTTGGCACAGTTGCGGTTTTTTAAACCACTTATTGCAAAAACGGCAACACATTCATGAAAAAGGTCGACGAAGCAACAACGAGGATTTACCACAGTTGCTGACTTTGCTCCTACTAAGATTTCGTCGTATCCCAACCACGCACTTAAAAGAAAGCATAAATAAATAATGAAAAGAAAGCAAGAATTAATGACACAATCCGACAGTGTCAACTAATGACAACCTTCAAACTGTCACAATGCTCTTTTTCATGACTTGAAATAAGGAAAGAATGGAGCTACAGTAGGCGTCCTTACCATACACGCATTTTTAACTATTACACCTCAACGACTATTACACCAGGCAACTTACCCTTACTTTTGCAATATATATATAGTTTCTAATTACAATCATTGATATATTTAAAAATTAGGTGCTTACTACTTTTAGTCTTTCTTTTATTACCAAAAGTAGATATACTGTTGCAACGATTATGATTACTATTAGTAATAAAATATAAACTATAATAACAGTGCAGGTCGCAAATTCTATTATCATATTGTTCGATATTATGTTAATCACTTCTTTATCATTACAATATGTTTTATTTTCATTTCTGTTGTATTGTGTTCATCAATTAATTCCATTTTTTTGTAGTCGTTATATACCAATCTACCAGTTATTGAGTTATTGAGTGTTGCAAAAATTTTACTTGATTTAAAGTCATTTTGTCTTTGTTTTTTGTCATAGTTCTCAACGTATTAACAAAATTGTTAATGTTTTATTTAATATATACTTGTTTGTTAATTGTTTATTAATTGTTTATATGAATTTGTGGATATTGTTACTTACTTTACTTGCATTACATATCCATTGAGTTTACCGTATGTGTAATTATTTTAGTTGATTACTTTCGCTGTTGACGTTCTATTGGCGGTAAAACCAGTTTCTGATTCAAAGGGTATTATTGTCAATTTTGTCTGGAAGAGAATGATTACCGTGGTTGAGGTCTACACATTTATTTATTTGAATCCAAATTTAAGTTACAAAAATTTTAACCAATGATGATATTAAAATGCGTATAAAATTTGTAAGACACAACTCAAAATTAACTTCTTAAAATACTTCAGGAATATGTAATTATTTAATAAATATAACATAAACATTTGTTGGCTATAACAAGACAGTCGAATTACGCAGATACTTAAGAATAAAATTCAAAATAAAACACCAGTGCTAAACCATTTGGCAACCGATAGTACTGAACATGTCTGGACCAACTTACGAGGCTATCGATACATTAAATTTAGTTTAAGTATAACTTTGACAGATCGCAGCATTGGACTAGGTAGATAGAGAACTTTCACGCATTTAAAACTTCCATTGTCCAATATGCTACCCACACATCCGAATGATAGGATAGCATTATTGTAAAAACCGTAAAAATTAAAAAAAAAAAATTAGAAATGGGAGTGCAGTCAGAAAACCAAATAGTGATTCATTCGAAACATTTCTACCTGCGTTTTCGAATCCATTGCAAATTGACAAATTAACGCACTTGCGAAAATATGCTTGCTGTCTGCATGTCAGCGGAAATTTTCTCAATCTAAACTGTTAAGCATGACAAAGAACTTGGTTGTATACACCTTTACGTTTTCAAGTACCATAGGTATTTTTGCCGACTTAGTATATAATTTTGACGGCACGGTCGCATTACCCAAGTCTGCACTTACCCATATAATCAATCTCCTACTACCGGAAAAAGTGGAACTAGCACGGAATTTGTATGAACATCAACTGCGGAAGTTCAAATACCACTATTTGCAGTATTAATTTGATTTCAGAAACACGTCACAAAGTTCATTCATTATGTGAGCAAGCGTATTTCCTTTCACGTAAGCCATTCGATAATCCCTTGTAAAGACACAGCCCTTCAAGGCTAGTTCAAGTTGAGGGTGGGAGTGCCTAGTGACATCAACAATCACACCCATTCAATTCCCATCTGAATTTTATAATCTCAATTCCGCAATAGCTTCTTGAGGGGGAACAATTCGTGAAAATGAACGATGGTATCCATGAAACTCACGGTAAAAATATACCAAGATTCCAAATTTGAACAATTATATAAGTTTTAGCTTATTCTAATGTCTCCACCATTTTTCCCAAACTTTTGATGGTCAGCTTACGTCAAATCATTTATATGCCAATATTGAATTTGATATGAACAAATTTGAATCTCACCAATACTGTTCTCCAAAGTGTTAAACTTATATGGTTACTTACAAAGGAAAGGCTGTACTTAAAAATTTTAATGCTAAAGAACGCTATTAACGGCGACTCGAAAGTGCTACTTTAAGAAAATTGGAGGCGTATATGACCGATGTACATGCCTTTGCTGAGCTAGGTAGTTCATGAGATGGAGGAGGGGTTCAATATTTTTGGCTCACTCACAGTACTCAAACTCTGACAACTAAAAGAACAGCACGTTCTTACCCTTTAATAAACATGCAGACGGACATAACCTATCATACGAAACCCTTGTGCTCCTGTTCGTTTCCCGCTCTGCCTAATATCTTCTTCTGCTCGTGATGTCTATGGGATTCTCCGAAGTTGGGTCCGAAGACTTCTTTAACATACTTTCGTTTCGTACATATTAAAATACTGTTTATTTCACCTTGTTTTTCTTTTACATTATATATACAGAATGTATTACATTAAAATGTAGAAGAGTTATCGTTTAATTTATTTAATTGTAAATATGGATGTTTGTATAGATGTAGCTATATATATATATATATATATATAAATATGCATCTCAATATAAATATTCATACGTAATAAACAAGAATTGTTTCACCTAAACCATTTAATATAAATACAATTAATGCAAATGGAGATAGCCTCACTTACATGTTTTTATTAGACATTATAAAGGGCATCAAAGCATGATTCATGTAACAGAAAGGCAAGATCAAAATCAATTGGCATAAATTTGCCAGTACAGCTCATTGAAAATAATGATTCTTCAATCATATGGCGTTACTTTCAGAAAATTCACATACACACTCTGGCAAATCTATTTTCGATCAGTTGATATTTTACTGTAGGCGCTTGTATATAAAAAATAATTGTTTATTCGTTGCAATACAAATTAAACATATTTCTTTTACTGTTTAGCGGTGTTTTACGCATCACGGTGTTGGACGATAATGGCTTCGACTTAGCATACGAATTTCTTGTTAATATTTGAAGCACTAGGGCTCGATATAAGTGTTGTCAGCTGTTTAAAGTAGGCTACGAGCTTTTCAACACGGAAGGTGTTTGAAAGGAGCTGTTTGGAATAGTATATTTTATTGATTGTGATTGACTTCATTCTTGGGCAGTAGGTATTGTGTTTTTAACCCGTGCCAAGCAAAAACCGTTTCAGGACTAGAGTGCGTTAGCTGTGTGTGCGCTGTGGGCTGCCCAACTCTGGTCCGTTCTCTTGGTAGCGGATGCTGTTGGTGATGCCACATTCGGAGTTTGAAATCTTTAGTTGCGACAGATTTGTGAGGGAGACTTAATTGCGGTTAATCATTACCTTCATCTTTGACAAGTCTTTCTGTGTCTACAACTCATGAGTTTGTGGACGTTAAAATAAAACTGCATACCTGTAATATGGCATATACTACATGTTTTTACATTTCTTCAGTGTCTGATATTGCGGTTTACTTAGAGCACTTAGTTTTGGACGAAAACATTACTTCTCACCTTACACCCAGTGAGAAGTTAACGGTGCTAGGTGACTTTAATCTGCCCAATTCTTCGCGGGTTCTTAACGGTGACCTTGCATGATATATTCTTTTTTCTTATCCATTAATTGACAAAGAGTTTTTTGATGGTGTTCACGGATTAGGTTTGTGTTAGCTATATCTTTATTTAAAGGTGATCCCTTTGTTTCGCCTGAAGAAAAGTGTACATCTGTCGTGATTGGTGGCCGTAAATTGCCTGGCTAGCAACGGACCGCGTAATCAAGTGGTCATTAGTGATCAACATTTATTTGCTAAAACAAATTACATCAAACCTGGGAAATTGCTGTGTGGAATTGGCTGGGACTTACGCTCTGAAGATATTGATGATTCGTTATCTTTTATTTACAGCCAGCTTTTTTCCTCAAATTCCGTCTCGATACCGTGTAAATCTTGTCACACTTAGGAGCCTCCTGTTTGGTATATATACATTTGGCATTTAGGGATGGTCCGCAATAAAAAAGTAGGGTATTTAAAAAGTTCCCTCGGAGTGGTTTGATTAAGAATTATATGTTATACTCTAGTGCTAGACAAGATCATAATTCCATGAAAGTAACTTGTTATTCCAATTTTATTGAAGCAACCAGATACAAACTTCTTAAAAATCTTAAGGACTTCTTTAAATTCGCAAATTGCAAACGAAAAGTCGAAATATTTCCTTTCGTTATGAGTTTTGGAATTTCTGAATCATTCGATGCGTCGTTAATAATTCACATGTATGCAGATTTCTTTGAAGAAGTCTATCAATGTTCAAATATTTCGTCTAATAATTACCCCTATTCGATAAGCTGGTTTGATATTTTTTCACCTATATCCATTTAAGAAGAAGAAATATTTATAACATTGTTAACGTTGAAACTTTGTAATTACCCTGGTTCTGATGGCGTTCCGTCTGCTACTCTCTAACATTGTGCTGATTTACTATGTTCTCCCCTTACACATAATTTTAATGCTTGTTTGAAAAAGGTTACTTTCCATAGGTCTCGAAGAGTAGTTTTATTTATTTGGTTCTCGGTTTTATAAACTGGTTCTCGAAAACTTATTGGGAATTATAAGGTAATTGCCAGACTTAGTGCACTGTCCAAGCTATTTAAATTGCTGCTAACAAAATGTATTTAGGGCCAATTATATCGCACTGTCAGCACGGTTCTTGTAAAGGAAGATCAACTGCTACTAATCTTCTGGAGTTTTGTAATCCAATGCACAAAGCATTTTCCGGTCATAAAAAAGCTGATATTATTTTCGCCAACTTTTCCAAAGCTTTCGATAAAGTCAATCATATGTCGTTAGTCTACAAATTACATCGCCTTGGTTTTAGCAACAGTATGATTGCCTGGTTCAGTAGCTATCTCTCTGGTCTCCTGGGTGGTACTGATTTCTCGCCAATCCCGAGTAATTGTTGTCACTTCTGGTGGTGTGCCTCAGGGTAGTTATCTTAGTCCGCTATTATTTATTTTATACGTGAATGACCCCCAGTAGGATCTTAACACATATTGAACTCTTGCAGCTGCTAAAATGCCGCACCAATTATAAGGTCTTCAATTTGTTTCTTCTTCAACGATCATTACCAACGTTCATCTGTCGAGTTTGTCCATTAATAAGTTGAAAAGGGTTATATTGCATAACTAACTGCTAAACATTTTTGAATCTTGTACAAATACCGGTAAATTAAACCAAAACCCTTATTTGCATTTGATTTTTTCTCATTTATTGCTATTAATTACTGAATCTTAATTGAATGAATGAGTGATGAATTTTGTTGCAGATTGATCTCATGGTAATTTTTATTTGTTACCTCTTTATACTACATTTTAAGTTATTTTGTAGCTTACGTTCGGCTAATGACTTGTTCTACAGCGCAACTTAATTAAGTAAATAAATAAAGCAAACAAATAAATAAATATACAGGATTATAAATAAATCCAGGGGATACCAAATTAATGGTGAAATGATTCCATACGAAATGTGTGCCACTAAGTGCTCATTTATTTCACAAGAGATATTTAGTTCAGTTTGCTACTGAAGAGATTTGTCGATTTTTTTATATATTAAACCGCTATAAAATACCGTCGGGTTTATCTATGTATATGCGCAAGAAGGAACTTTATTTACTTTTTGGCAAACTTTCACGACCGCTAAACACTTCACTGATTAGCTGTTATTGTTGTACAAGAACTCTTGTGTTATTTTCAATAATTTCTCAATGTCCAATTTTACACGTCTTTATGCTTGAAAAAACCTTTTTTAATCGCCCTCTCTGCCAGTTCTCCATTGAAAAAACAAAAAGGGAAAAAAGTCTAGCAAAACAAAAATCGCCAAAAGCTAAGTCGAGAAAATATCTCCTCAATATCGGATTGTTTTTCATGCAAGAACTTAAGAAGCTATATAATGCAAGGTTACATAATTAACAAAATTTGTTACGCAAGACCATTCGTTACTTTTGCTAACATATTGATTCCTTTAGATTTGCTTTAGTTCTAGTTTAAAGTCGAACTTATAGCTTTGATTAGGATGAGCAGCGCATCTTTGGATTCTGCAGACAATAAGGGATTGCTGAAATTGTTTTTATTGGGATACAGATTGGCACTGATCCAAAAATGACGCATATATGCCACAATATTCATCAATGAATGGAATGAGTTCCTGGGGTTAACCTTATAAATGACAAATTCAATGGCATCAGAATTTCGAAACTAATCTCTCTCTTTTTACATCTGTCACCAGTAGATTAATTAATTTTGATTAATTTTGATTGACTCATTAGGCCAAAGGTGTTAATTTTTGAGTTAAAATAGATGTCCAAAGAACCAATTGTAGGATTTCTTAAATTCTCCAGGCATTATTTCTCTATATAACACACCGATGGAGGTATCCTTTAAACGATCACGTCCCTGAGTGTATGAAGAGAGTTCTCGCATCCCAACAACCCTTTTGGCTACTAATGTTCGAAATGAGGTAGTATAAATGACGGGAGCGAAGGTTCTTGCAGACACTTTTTCTTTGCTACCCACAGTTTCAGGAAGGCCATAAATTCCTTTATGCGTGATAATGCTTTTAGATGCCAACAGTGGATAGAACTTCTAAATTTTTTAACACCATGAGCGGTTTCTTTGTTCGCAGAAACTGCATATGGACATTTCGGCCGGTCGAGAAGTTCTTCCACTAAGGCATCCGCAAGTTTTCATTCTCGTTTCCTTTCATACCGAACTTTTCATGCTGCAGTGTAATTGTCGCTTGTGGAAGTGAAACGGCGTGTTAATCGTTCTGCTTCTCCCATTAAATTGACTCATAAATGTCACATCTTTTCTGAAGACAATATGGGCTGTTCATGTACAAGCCAACGGCAGATTTCGGAAAATTGTTTGAAAATTTCACAACGTATTCATGCTGCGAGTATTTATTCACATGTATCGTTTGTTCATATAGTTGGTGAACTACGGTCCACTTTTGTCTAAATTTTTCGCGTTGGTTGAGAAATACAGTTGAAGTATGAGAGGAATTATCAGTCTGACGAGCTGGCTACATCAGTAAAGGTATGCACATAGGTCTCGTAAATCTTCAATCCTTTTAAAGTGGCAATTTCGAGTTGCCACAAAATTTAGTGAAGTTAATAGTGCTCTATAGACCGACGTTAATGGTATAGACATTATCGTTATGCAGATGCTCTTGAAGGTTGAGACCTTGCTCATCTTGCTAGCATACAATCTCGTCAAAGCTTGTCATTTTAGTTATAAAATTAGGGTCCACTTTCAACGATGAAACGGAAGGAAGTGATTTTCAATAAAACAAATCGACTATCAAGATCGTACTGAGGTTACCAACGCGTTGAAACACCTTAACTAGAACTCCGTGCTAAAAAAATTAAAGAAGCGTTCTTGATGCAAACAGACTATTCCATTCGACTCTATTAAATAAGAAAAGTATGCTTATATACCAAAATGATTATCTTGTAAACTAGAAAACGTACGAATGATTCCGTGTTTCATATATCAAGACTTAAGAACGATGGCCATGAAGAATTGTTTATCCATGGCATCATCGAATAATAGTATCATCTTCTTTTAGACAAAATACGCTAACATGCACAAATAATATCGTTTGTCGCTGTTTACATATTATTGTAAAAAGTAAACAAATCTTTTTTTTTTTTTTTTTTTTTTTTTTTTTTTTTTGTGTTTGATATGGATTGGACCTTTTAACTTAAATTAAGATCCATAATCCAGTAACTATATAGAAATCCATTGCTGATATTCATAATTTCACGTGGTGATGAAATATTGATGCTTTTTTACTAAGATTTTTTTAATTTTTTGCTTTCTAGGTTATGTTTGACTCTTTTCTTTATTTCAATTGAGTAACACGCTGAAGTTGGCTGTGTACACCCTAACGACAGCATGAAGACTCAAGTAAACAAATCAAGGAAGACAATGTCATGAATGGCATACACACAGGTGCATACAGCAAGACACGAGAGTTAATCATCATCTATTCGGCAAAATTATGTTTTAGACCATACATTTATGATAGAAAATTTCTGGTCAGAGGTTGTCATAGACTAATTACATACCTATTTCCGATGAAAAAGCCCTCATCAAAATTAGTTTGCATAACACTTGATCTAGAATGTAAGGTTGGTACATCCAATGACGAAAAATTACCACGAACGAAATAATTGGTAGACATGTGGGGTTGGCATTCCTAGAGAAGTAAGGAAAATAAAAAGAAGAGGAAGATAAAGTTTGTTTTCTTTCGGTGGAGAGCGAAAGGCTACATAATGTAAAATCGCGTCATAATTTAAAGAAATAATTTCTAAAATAGAGTCGTCATTTTATAATCAAATAATTTGCTTTATCTTGTTTCATACATATTTTTTTTAAAAAAGCGTTCCTGCTCACAAAACGTAACTTGAAACATGCTACCTTCTATACATCTTACCGGACATGTAAGTCCGTCTATAAGGCCCTTCGTCCGTTAGTCCGTATTCCCCGTCATGTAGTCACACCCACACGCACACCCACTCGTGCCCCATCTCAGCGGTACCTACGGATTGCTAAATTTGTCTGTTTGTTTCTTTTTTTCTTGTAATTGATCAATAAAAAAATAATTAAATTTCTATTTCTACATAATTTGTGTTTCAACTTCTTTTTTTTGGCATATAAAACTAGTTTTAGCGATATTTGTATATGCTTAACCATATATGGAAACAGCCTAAAAGGTACATAAATATCAATGTATAAGATAACCTAATACAAAACCAAACACCCCATCTACGATACAGTCAGTCGATGACTCGATTGTGACAGCTACTGGCACACTAGCGATGCTTTCCGTATCGTAACCTATAAAATACCATTCCGCAAAAAGCAAACCATCAACACGATAATCAATATGCTCCTTACTCTCAGTTTGACGATGATCCACTTTTGCAGACGGGATTCAAGTTTTTTTTTCCCACCAAATATTGGTAAAAAGAAGGTTGTCGAAGACGTGCCAATGCCAACGGTATGATCGATAAATAATGATGCGAACTGACCATAAAGAGGAACACAAAATGGTATATTGATGGCAGGCAATGAAGCCAGTATTATGGCTAAAAAATTAGAAAACGTTATACTTTCTTTTTTCCTTTTTATTCTTTTCTAAACTAATCCGATTTTACATGCATTTTTATTTCAAACACGCGGTTACAACTAAACATAAAGTACATGCAATTGATACATGTTCTGCGTACATAATTAATAGCGTTTATTAGTTTTATTTTTCAGGGAGTTTGATTTCATGCCATTTATTGTGTAAGATCTTTATTAAAATTTATTTTATATTCTTTGGCCCTAACAATAGAATTTTGCTTTTAAACACTTCTGTATATACAGACATTATAAATATTTTATTTAATGTTTTTCCTTTTGCCTATTGCTTAAATTTCACGTTGCTTTGCTTGTTGTCTTTTTTGTCTATTACTTTACTAGTTTTCATAAACGTATTGGATGAAATTCATTAGAAGACACCTCCGTTTTGGCACACAGTCATACATTTTTTAAAAGTTTTAATTGATAGATATTTCAGCAATTTATTTTAAAAAAAAGCAAAAATTTTTCATGACAAAATGAAATTCCGATATTTTACAATTAACTTTTCAGCAATTTTTTTGACTCACACTTAAAGCAAAACGTTTACTTTTTTTGATCTCGTAATATCAACTTTCCTATTTTCCTTTTTCTTAAAAAAACAACAAGAGCAAACATTCTAGAAAAAACAAAATCATGCATAATAACGTTATGCAGAGAGAGAGAAAGTTGTGAACATAGGTTTTCCATAACGGTATACTGTGATTATGATATTACATACTCTATTGGGATAGAGCAGTGGTCAAAGCCGACCTACGCAACCCCTATACCTCAAACGTAGACGGACGTTACAAAGGGTAAAAAAACCTGTGATTCTTTTAATTGTAACTATCTGTGGAGTGTTCGTGGGACAAAATTTGAAACCCCTTTCATATCTGCCAAATAAGCTAGCTCAGGAATGATGCGTGCGTCCGTCTCTTATACGCTCCAATCCTCTTAAAGTGGCACTTCAGCGTAGCTCTAAAAATAACAATAAATTTTTGAAATTTTAAATTGAGACAACAAATCAAAAAAAAAACTCTCTGAATTGCAAAACCTTATTAATAATATTGATATTAATTTGGATTAACTATTTCTAAGGCTTTAAAAAGTGCTTGATAATTTTGATCTTTCCTATTTACAACTATTAGATGATATTTTGTTTAATAAGGTTCACATTGATGAATTTAAGAAGACCGTTAATAAAATTTTAACAAAATTGAAAACAGTACTCGTACCTGCATTGATAAAAATTGAAAGGGACACTGATAAAGCAAGAATCATAAAAAGATATCGTCATGCTCCAATATGGGGTGATCATGCTGGGCAACTCGTACCCGGGAAAATCAGAAGAAGATATTATTGGAAGAACGTAATCCTTTGATATCTTTATATCCCTCGTTACGTAAAGAATTGTGATAACTGTCAGAAAGCTAAATCTGGTGTTAAAGCAAGAAACCAATTCATCATAACACTTACTCCGACAAAAGCATTCGACATTGTTATTATCAACGCAACAGATCCCTTAACCAAATCTGACTCAGATAAAAGATAATCAGTCACGGTAATATGTGATTTAACTAAATACGTAATTGCGATTCCAATTAAGAACAAATTCGCTAAAGATATCTCGAAAGGAATTTTTGAAGGAGCTGTTTTTTTACACGGCTCAATGACCAATATGTTCACTGATATTGAAACGAAGTATATCAATAACGCTTTGCTTCAATTGTCCACTTTGATGAAAGTGAAAAATTTATATTCTACCCCATAACACGATAAGACTCTGGGTTCTGCTGAAGGATCTCATGGAACATTAAATAAGTATTTGAGAATGGAGATTTCATCCAACAAATCGTATTAGGATTCATCGGTAAAATTCTTCGTATATTGTAACAATACTACACCTTCCATCGCAAACAGATTTTGTCCATTTGAATTAATATTCGGGAAAATACCACCTGTTTTAGACTTTGCGGATGGAAATCTCATCCAACCATTGTATATCTTTGAATCGAGCCAAAAGGAAGTAGCACATAGAAGAGCTGCAGATATTCTTGAAAATTGCAAATTAACCGCAAAAACGAACTAGAAGTTAGACCAGATTCTATAAAAGTTAGGTTTAATGACCTTGCATTAGTCCGTAATCATTGGTTCGCATAAGTTTGATGACGTCGATACGTTCATAGATTTAGGCGTTCTCTTTGTCCATAAATTGCATATTGAGCTCTCGTTAAGCAAAGCCAGGTCCGCGCTTGGTTTTATAAAGAGGTGGTCCAAAGAGCTTGATGATCCTTACACTACAGAAAGGCTGTACATGTGTTTGATTAGACCTAAACTCGAGAATGCCTCTGTTGTGTGGTCTCCTTCATATAGGTGCTATGTAGATTCAATTGAATCTGTTCAAAAGCAATTCTTGCTGTTTGCCCTTAGGAATTTGGGTTGCGATCCGATTGCCTCTCTCCCTCCTTATGAAAGTAGGTTGCTTCTGTCGTCCTTACCGTCTCTCGAGAAACGTGGACTTGTTCTTGGCGTTTCCTTCGTAGTCAAAGTAATAAATGGTGCTATGGACTCGCCTGCATTACTTGGTGAAATAAGCTTTAATGTCCCTAACCGCTTCTCTAGACACTTTATCTTGGTTAAGCTTAGTCAATTTAAATATAATTATGAGCTACTTAGAGTTGTTTGCGAGAACCTAAGTGACGTCTATCACTTATTCTCATTATGGGACTCTTTAAAGTTCATTAAAGCAATATTGCTTAATACGCGTGATTTACCTATGTCGCACTTAAACCAGCTCTTAACCTTAAAAAGTCAGTATGATTCAAAAATTAATTGTTGTTAACTATTATCGGTTGCCAAGCTTATGCATGTTTGCGATGGCTTAGTGGTTCATTTGCAATTTGATCCTGTACCGATTGTGGGTGTGGCTCTATGCTAGGTGCATACGTGCTTGTTTTCTTTTTTCCTCTCTTTTTTCCTTTTTATTTGTTTTGTTATGCTTATACTAAGTTTTAATATTAATTAATTTCGGATTTAGTTTAAAAGTCAATTGAACACGACTGTCAATTTATTTTAGTCGAGTTTCATGTATAAGTAGAATAAATAAATAAATAAATAAGATAGGCCATAAACTGTATGAAGTTTATAACGGTGCATTTAAAATTATAGAATTAGATGATAGGAATAATATTATCTGATAACAACAGTAAATGATAATGTATCTACAAAAATAAAATAAAAATCTATAATTCTTAATCTATTTACCTGATCTTTGACCTTTTTCTTTTATGTATATTTTTGACTTTCTCGTACCTTTATAATAAATTTAATTAAGTTACGTAGCTCTAATGAAGAATAAATTTATATAAATTCATTTCAAAAAAGTGGAAGTGTAGCATCCATTCATTGACATATCCACGTGTCAAAAGTAAGCTGATCACGTTAGACTCTCTAAAGCGTTTGGTTTCATAAGGCTTGATATTCCTTTTAGAATGGAAATCTTTATAATATATGATTTGGTCAATGCGTGTGTATGTAAATATGCGTGCGGCTTCAACAAAAAATGTTTATGCAACAATAATTAACAAACTGCTTACAATAATGCAAAACCATTGCTTTGATCGTTCTCTTCCGTCAATTTATTTGCAATTGGTATTGCTGCATATAGCTAAATTTTATGTAAACATCCGAAACACGTCTCTTCGAAGTTGTTGTATATTACAGTTCTCTCTTCATGTAGGCACACTACAATATGTTGTAAGTTTGTGTGTAATTTTTTTCTTTTGCACTCGTTGTGCACAGAGATCTTTTAATGCGCCGTGCATTGTTGACAATCAATAGTATTGTTGTTGCTTGTTATGTTGTAATAATTTACTTGATTAATATTTGACAGTCAGATCAGACTTAAGGTTAAGACAGTTGACTTTTACAGAAAAATAGACAAATATTTGCATCGTTAGAAGATTTCAACTGAAACATGAACATGCATATGTATGCCATGTGGCAGTAATAATATGTTTACCATTCGACGCCTGCTGCTGACATTAAGTCGAGAGCTCAATATTACTGACCTTAGAAACAGGGTAAGCAAGAAGCCCTTACCTACACTTTATATTGATTTGCATCCTAAACTAAACGCCAAGGAGGTTTTTAAATTTGAACACATTAATCACGCTACAATCGCTCCCAGAAAAATTATTGAAGTGATACAATGTCATTGATGCCAATTTTTTGGCCACACTAGAAAAAATCGTCAATAATCGCCTTCAACTCTAATATTCAATAAAGTAGTTGTAATAGCAACGCTTCTTCCGATATTAATCAGCTCCCAATAAACAAACATTTTTTGAAATATCGAAGGGCGAAATCTTAAAGCCAAGGAACTTTGCAAGTGCCTCCCAAAAACCATATTTTCCGTGCTTTCCACTGGGAGACCCACTTACTGGCCAAAAAATTCAAGAAAAATCCAAGATCTCCTGGATTTTATAGCTAATTCAGGTATTGCGTCATATCGTTTAGACCTATAGAGTCTGATGATTAAAATGTATTTCTCATCTAAAAATCTACAAGGTGATCACCTCTGAAACTGATATAAATAATTTTAAACAGTGGCTAGAGCAAAATTCAAGCCTCCGAGTTCAAGTTAGGGACGAACGTGAATTAAATTTTTTAGCTAATATATATCCCTCAATTCTAAGCCACAAATGAACTAAAACAGCGTCTACTTTTTTTTTATTTTAAATACGGGAAAGTATCAGTTTTTTTACGAAACTTATTGCGACTATGATAAGCTTCAGAATATTAAAAACCATTTAAAAAGATTAACGATATGAAACGTATTGATAAAAGACTGAAATACCTCATACATTTAACAAGGGCTGAACAGTTCGTTACCATGTTCCCGGAGAGCCCTTCAATTTGACGATGAGATTGAAAGAAAACTTTTATTGCACACAAACAACGCGATAATGGCATGTAAAAGTGTTTTATTAACATTAGAACTAGCAACGTTTTGCATAAAATTATTTCTCTCCTATATTTGTTGGCACGTCGCATTCACAAATGTGAAGGCTATCTTGACGAACAGCTGAGTCACGGATTTTCAAAACTATCTTCACTGCATCGAAAGTTATAGACAACGATATGAAAAAGATGCCGATCTTTCTCCAACTTGTTTCATTTTCTGCCATATAAACAGGTAACGCCCAATTTTCAACCTTATATTCCTAATCGATCAAGGAATGTCTATGCCAAACTTCAGGATCTTACCTTCTTGTGGTACAACTAAGTAAATAGAAAAAATTGTTTATAAGCCTTTCTTTTAAAATAAATGACGCTAAAAGATTTTGGAACATTTCATGCTTTGTTACTGTCTTTTAAAGATTGAAAATTACATCACATCAATGTGCGGTCCTTGGCAGTTCTAGTGTTAATTAACAAAAATATAGACAAGATGCACTTCGGTTGCTCTTTTCTGGTTTAAGGAAACCATTGTGTGACATCGTTTTCTCATCTCATCCATTTGACTTACCGACAGCTTTAGCTGTAGCTCAAGAAGTTGAGGCAAATCTTATCTTATATCTTTGTAATAGAAATGAAGATAGAAAACTGGTTAGGAATTCATTAGAAGAAATCAGGCAATTCTATTGTGGATGTTCCAAACAATATGCGTAACAAAAGCTGATTTATGGATATCGCTGCATCAACCGTTTAGGCAATCAATCTATCCAAATACTGCTAAAAATATGAATTGACCTCAAGACCACCATCGTCAAAAAGATCTGTTAGAAATACCAGTTCGAAATTTCAAAAAATTAAAAATTTTCATGGAGATTCATCCCTGACTATCCTCTATTGGATCTCCTGACTATTCATCAAGACTATCAATATCATGGCACTGCTAAGACTGGGCCACAAACTATAAAGGACAAAACTATCGAACACAGTGTATTCTCATAGGAAACTCTCGGTTAAGGTTTATACATTGAGCTGTAGCAGGAAGAAATACTAGCCTTTTAACCTAAAAACAGTATTAAACTATTTTGTAAATTTAAAGAACTAACGCCCGTGGCTAAAGCTTTCGTAATCCTGTCCATCCATGACCAGAATAAAAAAATAATTGTTAATAAGCCTTTATCTACTTTTGGTTGAATAGTCGGTTTGGGTCTGCTTAACGCTAACGGTTGAAAGCTATGACTGATTTGAGAGAACTACACCGTGACTTTGATATGAAACATACGATCTTTTTTAAGGTACAGACCATAACTGGAAGGACAAATTTTCAGGAGATAACGAAAACTAAAAATAAGGCATTTGCTGCTTCTGATGAAGCGTTGTCCTACCTACGGTGCCACCCGAATGGTTGGCGACACAGTTACCTATTCAAAGTTGTACCCATATTCGGCAGATGTACCACATTTTCTTAATTGCGAAATAATAAATGACGAGAAAGTTGTCGATGAATTAGATAATAAAAAGGAATAGATTTTGTAAAAGATTTTCGCAAGCTAACAGAAGACAATTGACGATGATAATGACACTATCGAACCTAGGAAAGCAAACTAAGATACAACCCTCGATTTAAAATCGGGTTACCATCAAATTGAACTTTCTGAAAGTTATAGGAAGAAAAAGATGCGTTCCATAAATAATGGAAAGTATGAATACCGTCGCCTTCCATTTGGGTAAGAAATGTTCCGAGCATCTTGCAAAGAGCGGTAGACGACTTTCTCGGAAAGTAAGCTGGCAGAAGATTCCCCACACATTGGCTGCGTTCTTACGATTCAATGCTACAAATTCGTTGTTCCAAATAAAGGAATTAAAATGTTCCCATCTAAAGTTGATATAATGAAAACTTATCCTATCCCCACTACATTGTTTGGCGTTAGATCGTTTCAAGCCTTGATCAACTACTATCATCGCTTTAGTTAGGACAATACCAGGAGAAAATACGTGCTATTCAGCTGAAAAAAAAATTTGCATTATACTTGGGCAGCAAGAAAAACAGCTTGTAACCTAAAAGGATGTTATATAGATGTACCCTGATTTCAAGAGACGTTTTGAACTAACGGAAATTTTTCTTAACGAACGTAATCTCAATCTATTTAACAAAGCTGGAGAGGAGAATTACGCTGCTGACGTATTGCCTAGGCAATATGTTCATTTGATGCACAAGGAAAAATCCTCTAAGACAGCAAGAGCCCACAGAGAAGAATCATTGACGCATACCATAGAGTGAAAAACCGCTAAACTGCTTTAAGATTTAAATTGTTTTTCAGGAAGCTAAATTCTCTTCCAATCGTAACTTCAGTGTTTTTAGAAATAAACCAGATGTATTATCCAATCCTTCAGCAAAGAAGCTCTGATGAAAAAATTCCGTACTAAGCACCAATGCCGTAAATCCAATTCACTGTGAACTACCGATCTAGGCGAACATTCAGCATAAATTGGTCGAGCTTCTTATGTTTCGAAACACCAGGAAACATGTACTAAACATTTTTGATCAAAATGAAATAGTAACAGCAGACCATAAACGCGCACATAGGAGAGCACATGACAATATAATACAAATCCTGCTGAACTATTACTTTCCGAAATTCAAACTGGCGAAGCAGTTGCAAATTGAAAATATGCTACAAGTTTTCAAACTTTGCTCTAGTATAACCCACACAATCAAGAACCCTTATAGATGTAAAACTTCCCATTCTTCAACTAATGATAACTTTTCCGAAAACCAAAAGTTTTTTTTTTAACATAATGAGAAGCCTTTCAATTCGGAAATAATGCAATTATTATTGAACAGTCAATTAAATGTTCAGATAATAAATGTTCCACTTCTACACAGTATTTCTAACGAACAAATGGCACGCGTTCATGGCACTTTGGGAGAAAGACCAAGGTACTGAAAGCTCGAAAGACAAATTGATAAAACGGCTAATCTGATAATTCAACCAATCATTGAATATAACACAATTATTCATTCTGTGACGAATGAAAGGTTTATTGATCGCATGTATGGACTTTCTGCATTTCGATCGAAAAAACGGAATCGAATTACAAATGCACAGATTAAACAAGTAGAGTAATATAATACTGGATAATAAATTAACTCCAACATACGAACAAGCGATGATAAAAGCATATATGGGAACAATCACTTTAAACAATTTTTCAGTTATAATAATTCGCATTCAGACAAGGAAATAGGTGAATATTACGAAAAAAAATTTCTTTGATATACACAAGACGAAAATTCCTTGCTTTTCTGAAATGTATTATAATCGAATTACGAAATTTTATACCGTAAGTAACAGTGAATATTGATTTCTTATATAATATACAATATAAATCAAAATTTCAAAGCGTATAACATTACAAATATTTTAAATTTTCAACATCGTGTCTATCTCAAATCAATTAATTACGTCAAAATGGAATACCAAATTCACCTCTTTGACGTTTTCGACGTTCTGGTTAGGAAGCGCTTTGTTAACTTTACTAAAATTTCGTGAGCAATCATGTGCCTCTGATAATATGAATGATCTCATCAATATCACGTTACCTTCAAAAATAATAATGTAATGTGTCTACACGAAAGTTAAACTTAATGTTTCGAATCTGTTTGAGTCTGTTTAAACTGTTTGAATAGTCTGGAAGGAGTCCAATAAGAATTTTCAAGCAAAGTTACATTGCAAATTGAAAGGACGGACAACGGCATATACCAACGGTTATACGTATGTTTGGTTGATAAACGATTTTACATGTTAATCAAAATATCTTCCATTACTGAAGCTTTGCATTGGGATTATGAATTTAAGGTATTTATAATGAATGTTACAAGCCGAATATAAAATTAGTGTTAATCGCAAACTTTGTGTACTGGCTATTAAACTTCAAAAGAACTGCAGTTGTAGTTTTATTTTCGAAGAGAGGCTTCATAAGAGTAAACGTCTACGAAGTATTCGTAGCAGGACATTTTTATTGCAGTAGCGAAAAAAAAAATTTTTTTTTCTTCGCATTTCGGAGAGGAGGAGCTTTGGTTTTTATGCCAAATTGCAAGTGAAACTTTTCCATTGTCACTCAATAAGTTAAAAACTTCTAATGTAATAACATATAGTAAAGGAGATTACGTACTCAACCAAATAACCACCTAAAAAGCGAAACGATCAACAAACCAACCATAGCACGGCTATTTGGTTGATGTTGTATGGTATGGCGTGGTATGATGTGGTATGAGAGATATGGATATAACATTGCACGGCACAGATGTATAATTCTGTTTTTCTCGAGAATTTACGTTTACAGTTAATGAAAGCGTTAAAACTGAAATGTACGTATTCGTTGTTTTGGGCACAGCTGCTGATCGGTTTGAAAGAACGGTATGATTACCGGGCCGACCGACAGATAGGCGCACGTACATTTGTTATATACGTACGGCTATTGCAGTATCCCGAATTATATATTTCTTTGCCTAAAGGTTTAGATTATATAGTTTTTCACTTTTTTATTTTGGATGCTTTCGCTCTAGCTATGTTAAGCAAAGTGTCGCATGTTGTTTGCTCGTTCGCATGCATCGTTAATTTACTCTTTAGTACGGAAATAACTCAGACACTAGTTGCACGCGTTAATATTTATCATTTTCATTTGTTTTTGCACATATTTCCATCATGCATAACTTACATATCCAGCCGTATATGTAAATCCTTACAATGAAATTCCGACGCTAATTTTTTTCGTTTGTTGATTAATGAAAGCTTTCTTAAACCATATAAAATTATAATACAAATTATACGGTCGAGCAGTGAATAAAAACAACTGTGTGTTATAAATTAAGAAAACTTAGGGGAAGAAGAAAGAGCGATATAAGATAAAACGCAAAATTTACAGTACTGTGGAAGTTGAAAATAAGCGGGCAAAGTAATCACACGAAATAAGAGAAAAATATGACTTACTCAGCGTAAAGAAATTTGAACATTATATATTGTCATATGGAATACAAAAAAGCTTTCTGATGTCGTTCCGACGGCATATCATCACTTCGATCAATTTATTTGGAAAGTATTGTTCAAAATATTAGTGCGTCTTTGTCTTTGATTACTTAAACCAACTGGGCTATACACTAATACTTTCACATATACAAGAAAATAAATGGATGCATATACTTTGCCGCCATATTTCCCCCTCGCGTAAGTATTAAACGATTTAAAAACCCAATGCAGTCTAAATACGGAGAGTTCGTACATTGAAGAGATTATGCAAAAGTTTGCCCTAACTTTGAATACACAGGCTTAGCAGTGGTACTTTTGTTGGCTTCCTATATGCTACTCACTGTTCATCATAACTTGGTCGCAAACTTTTTTAGTTTGTTTTAATTTAACGCTTTGAAATCAATTCAGGCTTATGGGTCAAATAAACCCCTTCGCTCCAAATAAAGGCAAATGATTACCATTTTGGTTTCTTTTTAAAGCTCTTCGAAAAAAAACCGTTCATTAATAGTAAAAAACAGTTAGTGTAAAGAAAAACAAAATCTGTTTCTAAAGCTCATGTTACGAGAGATTTAGTCAAGTATGCTTAAAAATATTTTTTTTGTAAAAATTTATATGTAGCAAACAAATCTAATTTGACCGACTTTAAGTCTGTCTCTTATAGGGAGTTCACTAACGAGACAACGCCTTATTCTGGGATGCGAAATTAAAAAAGCTGGGTTATATGAAACTAAGTTTCATACATCGATGATTTCCACTTTTCAGGTTTAATTGGGTAATTTTTCAATAAGTAAATAAAAAAACCGCACCTAAAAGCAGTTTTATGTGTGGAATCTGTTATATAGAAAACATGAATTATATTCGATTAAAGCGGTATCTTTCGTTTTAAATAATCGCATTTTCATTTGTTTCGCCGAGGACAAATGATAGCATTTTGAAAGTAATATGATGTGTCAGCCTACTTAGGCAACGTGCTCTTACTTACGTATACCACCTTATAGAAACTATTATTACAGTACAATATGTGGAAAAGAGACAATTCGAATAAAAACCACACCCACTGGTGTGGTTCCAAGAATTTTTCAATGTATATGAAAGAGGATATATTTGGGGAATGGCGTAAGACTCTTAGCTCAATACTTTCATTGAATGTATATATAGCTCGTAGCATCTTCGATCTTTACACGTTAAAAAAGGGTCATAAAACTAGTTTATCAGATATATAAATTTACTTCTCTAGTCATAATTGTATTAAGATGGAGCATCCGCTGCGGGCTTACTTACTTTTTAATTGAATGCTAAATTATATTTATTATATATATATTTTATTGTAAATAATCATTAGTTTGACCGAAGAAATGCTTTACGAATTACGAGTCCGTCATCAACAACTACGCAGCCTAGGCCTTTTTTCACAAATAGAGAAATACCCACTGCAAGACACAGTAAAGTTTGAATTGTAATCGCTATAGCTCGTATATTGTTGATATTGATATGATTAAACTGCTTGATTTTCGAAATTTTCTGCCTTTAACATGCCAGGTTTTTACCTAAATTCCTTTGACAATCAAAACTGCAAAAGCAAACAATTAAACCTAGACTGAGAATAAGAAACGAATTTTATAGCTGCAAAGATAATTTTATTTTGTCATCCTCCTTTGGAATTTGTATACTCATACAAGCATGTGCATTCATGGAATTACGGGTACCTAATGAATGTTATCATAAAGAAAAGCTAGGAGAACGTTTCAAATAATAATTATGAAACGCTTCTTTTGTACACGCTCTGTTTTACTCTTTGAGCGTTCATAAAGTAACAAACGTAACAGAAAACATTACAAATCCTTCTTTATTTTAAAATTTCTTAGAATTGCCAGCAATATGTCTTTCACAAAAAAAGAAGAAAAATGTAGAAAATAACACCAGAAAGGTTTATAATGTTATAATGTATATACTACTACATGAAACGCATAAATAGTCAAATGGGCACTTTTACAATATATTTGGATGTATGTGTCAGCATGCATATAAAAATACTACAATGGTGTGTTGTCTGTTATTTGGGAAGCAGGTACCTATATGTGCTTGTGCGTGTTCTGAATTGTTGCCTGCATGCCCATGGACAACCTAAACGCAACTTACTATACCACTAAAAAATTGAAGAAAAAATAACAACAAAAGAGAAAATAAAATAAAAAATCTTCATTACATCAACAAAGACAATGCAGATTAAATACAAAAATTATTGAATTTTAGGCACACACGGTTTTGGCACCAGTATGTCAGCTTCTATTTTCTATGTTATTGTTTGTTTGTCTAACAGTTCGCATGTGAATGTATATTTTCTTAAGCCGTAAAAAAACTAATAATGATGAAAATTTCTACGATTCAGAAGGTCTATCCCAATATATATTCTCTATGAATTGAATTGTAGGTACAATAGTCGATGTAGCCTTCCTTTTAGCTTAAACCTGCCTACCCACTACTACCATAGTCTATTAAAGACTCTCTCAGCTTAGCCATGCATGTGTGTGCAGTAACAACAATAGAGGCAGCAACTAACACATAACTCCATCATGAAGAAATTATTTTAGTCAGATGAACATTAAGCCTACTCGAATATTTCTTGAAAAAGCAAACAAAAGGAAACCATCAATAAAAAATATATGTATACATAATTAAGTGATCAAGAAAAGATATTGCTGCTGTTATATTTGTTGTTGTTATTACCATTCTATTGTTATTTTTTTAACCACTGCCAAACCGTGGCGATATTCTAAATTTGTCGTAGTGGTTGGGACATTCATAAACGCTTAACATGTAAGCTTAAGCCCGAATAAATTCTAGCGTTCAGTTTCAGTTCTACTCATTACCGGATTTATACCTCTTCATGAGCTTTTCGACCTCTTTCACATGGCCGGAGACGAAAATGTAAGAAATTAAACCATAAGACTGTCCCTACACAACAATTAGTACAACTTTGATAATAGCCAAATTAATAAGAGACGGTATCCAAAAGCCCTACATCATTAGACGGTGGGTGTAACACGAGGATCACAAAAGAATAATGTTTAAAAATGGAAACAGTTAAATGCACTTTTTTCATAGGGAAGATATTTGACAATATTAAGAATGAAGTCTTTCTAATACAGATGTACATTCGAATTCTAAAGTAGGTATTCGTGATAGTGAAATGATATTTAACAATATAAAGGGGACCGACGCTATATTAAGACCAGTTTGCCTGATTGAGACGCATATAATAAACTAAAAAAGAAAGAAAACACACAAAACAAGTAAGAAACTTATATCCGGCGGGATCCGAATCTCGCACACCCATCACTATGCTTTTCGCATTCTACTCTCGAAGTTCTTTTATTTGGTGGGCGTAATGCTAGTATTATTAAAAAAAAACTAATCGTGGTGTCTACCTTGTTCATTTTAAAATTAACCCATTTTTGTGCAGATAACATATTTTTATTAAATAGTTTTAAACATCCTGTCTTGTGTGCTTTATGATAAATAAGCACAAAACTACAAAAATGTGAAAAAAAAGATGATTTAATCACTTGAAACTTTGTGTGGGCATAGCCGAATTTTTCCATTTTTGCAAAGGTAGACTATTTCGTAAAGTAATTGTGGAAAATTTCGGCTTTCTAAGTTTAATAATTTCCAAATAACCAGCAAAAATCCATACATTTTTGTTGCGTTCAGTTTACGCTCCACTGCACGCTTCTGCTCTCATTAATTTGGCTCATTTTTAACACCAATCTGCATGCAAGAACTTTTGATGTTTTTTTGCCAAATTTGAAGTCGATAAGTTCATTTTTGCGACCAGGAGAGTGCTAAAAACACACACCCAATCTGACGGGCAGACACGGCTAAATCAGCTCAGACTTTTACGCTGAACAAAAGTATATATACTTTACAGGGTCTCTGAAGCTTCTTTTTGGGTGTTACATTCCTTATGGAAGAAAATAAAATGAGTATACCTTCATCTTACAGTGGTGGGTGCAAAAAGTAAAAAAAAAAGTTCGAAAGAATAATTGTTTAAACGAAGCTTTCATTAAATATTAACGTTATCATTAGACAGGAAGGTAGAACGACCATAGATTAACTCACGATGTTATATACAAATTCATTATAGTAAAATATTTGACACAACATTATAAGTAGAAATGTAAGTATTTCCTCCTAATTATAAATAGTTTTGTGCGCAGAAAGTTTCACCTATTTTTAAATTTAAATTTGCGTAACAATAATGTACAATATAATTAATGTACAATATAATTAATGTACAATGTAATTAATGTGCAATATAATATAATATAATATCAAGTGTATAATATAATATAATATATTATGCGTAAGGTCAGTTATGTTCGTTCGAAAATGGTGCAAATTTTGTTGAAAGCGTCTCAAATAATGATTCTTTTGCTTATTCTCCTCTTTAAAGACATGTTTTATAAAAGAACTATACTGTGCAGGTTGGTAGAATGAACATAATCGCCAATGGCGTTTAAATGAAAATTAAGAAATAATAAAGAAATTCATAAATGTAGGTATGTTTCTGCATATACACTGCGCCTTAGTGCACGTTCTCCACGCAAGCTTCAATTATACTGCATTTGTTCTTCCGTTTGTAACAGCCGTGGTACATCGAAAACAACGGGTGAAATTCAAAAGTTCTTGCGAGCAACCCGCGCGCACTATCGCAGCAGGTAAATGAGCACAGTTTACATTCAATACCATAGAATCCAAACTCGGTGTAAATGTCTCTTATTTAATCAAAATTATTTCAAATTCTTTTGTATTGATTTGAAGTAGCGAATATCAAAGATTCGCCTAAAGGCGAATTTAATTTTCCTACCTACACCGACAATAAAATTGTCAAGATTGTACATACATGGTCCTTTAGTAAAATTCATATATATAAACGTGTTCCTGCACACAAGACCTAAAAACTGGTTTAAGAGAAAATTAAGAAGTAAGAAAAGTTGATTACGTTGTTGACTGTTGATGTTAGTTAATGGTTTATTTACTGGCCGTCTAGTAGTCTATTTCTTGTTGTGTATTATTGTGTCATATTAAGTATTGTAAATGTTTTATGCGTGCAGGCTGCGTTAATTTAGCTGTTGTTAAATCCATCAACAATCGAATCGAAATAGACCAGTTTCATCATCGCTTTTGCAGCTTCCTAA